CCCAACGCCCACCTGCCCCCCCCCCCCAAGGTCCATCGTGCACCCCTCAAGTCCATTGTGCACCCCTAAGGTCCATCATGCACCCCTCAGGTCCATCATGCACCCCTCAGGTCCATCATGCACACTCACAACAAGCCCAGCACTAGATATTTGCTAGCTGCTGTGGAACTACAAGTCCCAGATTGCCTAAACAGTTCTCAATGCAGCAGCAGGAGCACTGCGAGTTGCCTGAAGCCGGTGACCTGCGTCAGAACTACGCTCAGGATTGGGCAGCGGCTCCAACGTCGACGTCCGATGGTCAGTTCTTGGGTCCAGCGGCCCTCTAGGACAGCATACAACTCTGCTGCTTCCTGCGCGGCTGCCTCTTCCTGGGCTCGGGCTGCGCGCTGGCTCTTCGTCGCTCCAGCGCGGGGCTCAGCAGGCAGGGCAGGTTGACCCTGCGGAGCAGCTCCTCGAACACGTCCTGCACTTTTTGGTTGAGCTTGGCCGAGGTCTCCACGTAGCCACTCTCCCACTCCAGCTCGGCCGTGGCGGCGGCCTGCAGGGCCAGGAGCTGCCCGCCCCCTGACTCCGTCCCCGGGAAGCGGTCCTTCTGGTTGCCCACCACCACTATGGGCACGTCGTTCTCACCCTTGATCCTCAGGATCTCCTGCCGCAGCCGCTCGACCTCCTGGAAGGACTCCAGGTCAGCCAGGGAGAAGACCAGGGCGAAGGCGTCCCCTTGCTGGATGCGCAGCTTCTGCATGGCAGGGAAAGAGTAGCTGCCACTGGTGTCCACAATCTCCAGACGGAGGCGGAGGAGCTCGGGGTCCTGCTCCAGGCAGTACACTTCTTCCACCGTGCGCCGGTGCCTGTGCTCAAAGCGGTCATACAGCAATTGCTGGATCAGAGCTGTCTTGCCCACACCGGCAGCTCCCATGAAGACCAGGCGCACTGTGCCAGGGTTGGACACTGAGATGGACATGATGGCCCCTTGGTCTTGACCACGTGGTCTTGGAGTGGGCCCCTGGGTCTTGGTGTTGGCCCCTTGGTCTTGACCGCTTAGCCTTGGAGTTGGGCTACTCACACAGTCTTCCAGTAGATCTGAATACAGCTTTTGATTATCAGCCCGTCCTCTGAAGCCTCAGATGCTCCTAATGGTCATACAGTCTTCCGGTTGATCAGAAGGTCTTTCTGATGACTGCTGTCTTCTCAATGAGCAGATGTCTTCAGCGCTGGAAATCAGTGCTTAGCCAGGGACACTGTTCACACTGCTCCCTCCAGCAAGAATCTGAGCTCTCTGAGGACCTGAGCTGCAGCGGCCACCTTTATGCGTCCCTGGGGAGCAGCTCCACCCAATCAGATGCAAGCAGCCTCCTCCAGATAGGCGGTAGTGGAGGCTCTGGGCCAACAAGACTGCAGGATTTTTTTCTTTTTTGTGCTACACGTGTATTGTGTGTTTTTTTTTCGGTATCCCTAAAATAAAGATACTTTGTTATTGTGTTAGGGTAACAAAAAGCAGTAGAGTTCTGGGGAAATGCTATTCCCTCAAGTGATATGATGATTAAAGTGGAACTCCAGATGAAGGGATTTTTTAGAATTTCATGTATGTAAACCTATGTTACCTCTGATGGGGTGTATTCCATATCAGGATCACTTCTCTGTCCTTTAAGATCTATACATTCATATATTCCGTCTTGTTGTGGCTATGATGGCTCATTCATGCCAGCCCGTACGCTACAATTACCTCAGGGGCTGAACGAGAAAAAAACGCTTGATTCCCTCTTTCACGTTACACATTTCTGCCCCCATTCCCCACCAGGCTATTGTATTCTGACAGCGGTGGGTGTGCCACTGCTCTGAACAGTGACAGCAGTTGATTGGCTTCAGGAATTTGTATTAAAGTGACACTAACCTCAGGAGGTAACTCTTAAAAATACATTCAAATACCTTAACTATTAACAGAAATGTATCTTATTTGTGTATCACTCGGCTGTAGATCCTCAAATCATCTCTGAATTGGTGCTGACACTGTCCTTCCTTCTGGAGGGGGGCTACTTCTGTTCCCCATGGTCACCGTGTGTTGTAAAGTAGTCACCGCTCCAAGCTCTCTCCCGTGATGGACTACAATCTGCATTTTTGTTACTAGTTAAGGCACGTGAATGCATTTTTAAGGTTTAACTCCTGAGTTTAGTGTCAGTTTAAAGGAATTTATAAACTGAATACTATCATAACAGTTATTAACCATATGCAGCCAGTTACCAAAATACAACATATTTTCCTAAGTTGGTGTCAGGGTTGCAGGGTGGATTAGTGTAATAGTTAATGGGAAGGTTAGTGTTAGGGTTGCAGGGTGGATTAGTGTAATAGTTAATGGGAAGGTTAGTGTTAGGGTTGCAGGGGGGGATTAGCGTAACAGTAACGGGAAGGTTAGTGTCAGGGTTGCAGGGTGGATTAGTGTAATGGTAACGGGAAGGTTAGTGTTAAGGTGGCAGATGAGGTTTAATGTCGATAAATGCAAAGTAATGCACTTTGGAATTAAAAATAAACAAATGGGTTATACAATTATGGGTATGCCGCTGGGGAAGTCAGAAATGGAGAAGGATTTGGGGGTCATTGTAGACCACAAACTGAAAGGTAGTTTGCAGTGCCAGGCTGCTGTAAACAAAGCTAGCAGGGTTTTGTCCTGTATTAAAAAGGGGATGTATTGCAGGGACAAGTCTATAATTTTGCCACTTTATAGATCATTGGTTCGACCTCATCTGGAGTACGCGGTCCAGTTCTGGTCACCAGTACTAAGAAAAGATGTCCTTGAGTTGGAAAAAGTCCAGCGGAGGGCAACCAAACTAATTAGGGGTATGGAGGACCAGAGCTACGAGACAAGGCTACTAAATTTAAACATGTTCACATTAGAGGTGAGGAGATTAAGGGGGGATATGATTTCCATGTACAAAATGTTCAATGGTGGTAGCAACATTAGCGATAAACTGTTTAAAATTAACTCCGTTACAAAAACTAGAGGCCATCACCTAAAATTGGTGGAAAAAAAATTCCAGCACAAGGGGCGAAGGGGGTTCTTCACAGTAAGATCAGTTAGGGTCTGGAACTCACTGCCACAGGCGGTGATTTCAGCAAATAATGTGGAATTGTTCAAGAAACTTTTGGACGATTTCTTAAGGGACCGTAATATACAGGGGTACAGGTACTCCTAGAATGAGATCCTAATAGGTTGGACTTGATGGACTAATGTCTTTATTCAACCTCAAATACTATGTAACTATGTAACTATGTAGTGTCAAGGTTGCAGGGGGGATTAGTGTAACGGTTAACTGGAAGGTTAGTACTAGGGTTGCAGGGTGGATTAGTGTAACGGTAACAGGAAGGTTAGTGTTAAGGTGCCCATACACTGTACGATTATCGCGATCGTACGATAATCGCAAAGTGTATGGAAGGCGTGCGACCGCTTCTACTGTACGGTCGCACGTCTTCCGTCGAACAAGCAGGCTGGAAAACCCGCCGGGAATCGTACGATTCTCGGCGAGTTAGTGGCCTGCTTGTTCGACAACTGCCGAACGGGTCGGTGTGCGCACACTGCCCATTTGCAGTCATCGGAAGCCCTCAGGGGGGCGGGCTTGCGATGATCGCAAGTACCATCTGCCTGTCCAAGATGGGCAGATCGTATGTTTTTTAAATTACTTGACTTTTGTCTTGCGAGGGTTGTAAAGTGTATGGCCCCCTTTAGGGTTACAGGGTGGATTAGTGTAATGGTTAATGGGAAGGTTAGTGTCGGGGTTATAGGGAAGGTGATATAAGGGTCCCATAATGGGTTTGGGTGAGGGGGGCTTCGGATAGGTCCTTGCTCTCATCTGTCAAACCAATGCAGAGCTCCTAACGTTGATAGCTGGTATATATATATTATTAGAGGAGGCCTGCTACAAGCCAGAGTAGAATTATATTGATAATGGATAATGTATAATCTGATATCTTACCGGAAAGGTTTACTCAGAGTAAACCTTTCAGGGAGAAAATGCCTCTCTCGCGGACATCAGGGAGCCGCTATCTATTAGAGGGAGACTCCCTGAACATCAGGGAGACTTGAGATCCCTGTATAACAAATCAATATACTGAGATGCTCGGTGCACAGACAGTGTCAATCTATTCACTGAACATTTCACCGGGAAGATATCCGGTTGTAATGGTTCCATCTCCAGCTGTGTCCTGGTTATAGAGATACGGCCACTTCCAGTTCTAATTTTTGGTGCCGTTTATCAGTGAATGACTTTCCAGCACTTGGGAACAGTGAGCCAAATAACATTATTATCTGCGTTGTCATAGAGGTTGGGCTGCACTTATCTAAGCAGGAACCAGCTCGATAATGTGCTGCATGGCCACCTGACATCACTAGAGGGCCCCAGTCACAGAAAATAAACCACAAGCTCAACAAGCTGCATCAACCTGCATTCACGTGAACCTATAAAATGTGGTTCTGCTCAGCGTTTCCTCATAAACCCCAAGACAATAGCGCTTTCTCCTACTACAGGATGGTTGTTAACAGCTATCACATATAAACAGTATTGTTTAAAGCATAACTCTGGGCAAATATATCATAAACCCAGAGTAGGGTTGCCACCTTTTCTTCCAGCGAAACCCAAACACTTTTTTGGGGAGAATGAGTCGAGGCTTATTTATATGTAAATAGCGTCACCCATTCATATGCAAATATCACAGTCAAGACTATTTTTACTGGGGGGCCAGTAGCCCCTATCTTAATTTTGGTTGCCCCTCTCTGCCTGACATCATGTGTCCGGGTCTCAGCTGCCATGAAACCCAGGCACAGAATTGAAAACCCGGATTGTCCGGGTGAATCCTGGACAGGTGGCAACCCTAACCCAGGGGGCCGATGCACATTCTTTGCTGTGCTGTGTGCATGACTGCATGCACTAATGTGTATTGTACTAAGGCAACCCATTCATTATAATTGAGCTGCCTAAACAGATGAAACAACATTCAGGACCCTTTTTAGTAGTGCACAGTATGTGAGATGTGACGTGGTGCAGTGCACTGTACAATGCAGTGTGCTGCAGAAAAAGCCGCATGCATGATTTTTGCTCTGCTCAAATGAATGGGCTGTCTTAATGCAATGCACGACACAATGTGACATAGCCACATAATGAACTACACAGGGGCGCAACTAGAAACCTCAGGGCCCCAATGCAAGAAACCATAAAGGGCCCCCCACCCCTAAGTGGCCAAACGTCAGGGTTTAGTACATTGGTCAGCCATTCGCTCTTATCCTTCACCAAACACCTGTAATGCCACCCATATCCACAAGACAGTTTCACCATACTTGTGGCTGATTCTTCAGCCATGGCATTAGGTAGAAACCAGCAAGGAAGTCACAGGCTGTGTTGGACCCAGTGCAGGAGCTCTGTTACAGGTAAGAGGTAATGTAGTGCATTTTGCAGTACATTGGTCAGCCTTCGGCTCCTGTCCTACACCAAACAGGCTTATGCTACCCATAAGACAGTTTTACCATACTTGTGGTTGGTTCATCAAGTGTGGCATTAGTCGGAAACCAGCAGGTATTTATGGGCTCTTGTAAGAGACTTACCCGCAGATGGACTCCTGCTCAAAAATGTGCACGCACACAAGTATGCAATCCATTGTCCAAAGTTCCTGGAAAACGCACTTTACCACGTTAGCGTACAGGTGCACGCTCATTAGCTTGTACACTATCCTATTTAAACAGATATGAAGCCATAACCAAGTTGCTAAGTGGTGTTCAGCTTGTCCCTGTGTGCCCAGTACTCTGTTCCTGTATCCTGACGTCCTGTGTATGAACCTGGCTACTAGTGACCATTTGACTTTGCTTCCTCCTCCTGATTCGGTACCTCTGCTCTCTGATCTGCTGTGTATGACCCTGGCTTACGTTTCCTGACCCTGGTCCTGATCTGTGAATCGGCACCTCAAGATTCGGCTCCCTGTGTATGACCTCGGCTTGAACCTAACTTCCCTCCTGGTCTGCCACTTGGTGGATCGCT